CTGTCAAACATTTTTTATCAATCACCAATTTTTCCTTCTATACATATGCATTTTCGTTATGTGTATTCTGAAATGTCCAATGAAAATAAAAGGAAACAGAATAAAGAAGCCATTAAAAGCAGACATTAAATTATTTTAAAAAATATTGCTTCTTTTTGGCTGATAGTTATGAATAATTTTAAAAAAAAAAGACTGTTTCTGTCTGCGATTACTATGCCATCTGTTTCTTCAACTTCCTTTTTTCCCACAAACAGTTATAACAATGTATTAATACTATAAAAAAACGTCTCTTTAACTTGTCTTTTTTTTTTTTTTCAAATAAATTTGATAATTGACGGTATTTGACAGCATCAAAGATAATGTAAAAAAAGTTTTTTTACAATATTAACAAAGAAAAATCGATTTTTATTAATTGAAACCTAATAATCAACAATGTTTAACTTCTTATTTCACTTAAACCTTTACTTATTTGTTTCCGCTAAATTTTATCATGTACCCTTTTTCTATGCTGCTTTTGAACAAGGAAGGTAAAGTGTTAAAAACAGAACAGCATTCACCCTTGAACCAATATACCAATAATATTTTTGTAGGATAATCTTTAAAAGTGTAAAACAGATGAATACTTTACCCCGTAATCATTAACACCACTAGTCGTATTATCAGCCTGAAGACACTGAGGTGGAATGTCAACAATAAGTTGCAAAGTTTTGTTGGCCATAGCACTATGTTGAAGATTCTTTAGTGCAACTGCTGTTGAATTGACCATACATGTCATTGTGACACCAAGGTTTCCCCTCATATACGATGCCAAACAGAATCCGATAACAAGCAAAACCAACAGATGAAATCTTCGTGATAACGGATGAAAAAGGGCTGAACAACAGTAGTAACTATTGGTAAATTATCAAAAAAGATTCCAGGTTTTGAGTACATTTTAAACGATGCAGGTATTCAGTTAAAAGAAAAAAAAAAAGACCAACGATATTTTGTCGGTTCAGCATCACTTTTTTTGTCCATATTGAGGTAGGCAGATTTTGATTGCTCTTAGGCACTACGTCCTAGCAAAAGTTCAAATCCCAAAAGTTTCCACCAGTTTGAGTACTAAAGCAGTATAAATACCAGGCAACAGCACTAATGATAGTTTTTGCAATAAAACAACAATAATTCTAATAATGGAATCCAAAAGAAAAAAAAAAAACCGTTGATTTTTCTTCAAAAAAAAGAAAGCGGAATCAATTAAATTCCAAAACAAATATAGGTACATCGAGTTGTAACTAATAAAACATTGATTAATTTAGCTGAAATCTGTCAGCAAAGTTAATGCTTTTTTGCAGGACCTTATTGAACAAAGTTCAAAGTTGTTATACAAATTGATTTGTTGGGTAAACAAAGGTGTGGAAAGGGGAGGAGAATAGATGTAAAATAAATTTTGCAAACGTTGATAAAACCTGAGAAAATATTATCAATTTAAAGATTCGAAAAAAAAAGTTTCTTTTTTCATTGTTTATTTTAATATTTCTTAGTTTTTCTTCAGTTATTTGCCTATAAAAATTAGTATTTAGCAAAAAATACAGTTGATTTTATCATTTTCATTGATTGAAAATAACTAATTTTTTTTTTTTTCTTTTTTGTGTTTCAAACAACAAAAACAATGCAAAAGAAAAAGAAGACAAACTGCAAAACTGTTTTCAACAGTCGACCGCAAATATTTGATATTTGTTTTGCGGGTAACACTGATGATAAACCAACAAATTACAAAAGTCCAAAAATTTTTTGAAAACGAATAAACAAGCAAAAAAATGAGAAGATTAAAATAAATTAAATAAATAAAATAGATAAATGTAAATTTCGCTTAATAAAACGCTACAAACAAAAAAAGTAAAAAAAAAAATTTAAGTACTTTATTTTTGCTGTACTTTTTACTCTTATATAAACATCGTTTAGTAGAAATTTCAAAAGAAAACAGTCAATTTTTTTACCCTCATTTTTCCTGTTCTTTTTTCCAGCTTTTTTATAAAAATGTATAATCAGCAAAGAAAAAAAGAAGTTAAAAGGAAGAGAAAAGTCTTTTTTTATAAACTATTATTGAGTATAAAACCAGAAAAACAAGAAGCATAAGACTGCTATCTAAAAACCGTAAAGTTACGGTTACCATAAAATAGATACGTGTTTAGAAAAAGCACAACAACAACTTTACTGTTCTCCTCATCCGTTTTTCATAGGTCAATAAATTCAAAAAAAAAAAAACAACCTATTTTTCATGTTTTATACTTCAAATTTTTTATTTCACTGTAAAAAGAAAACTTGTCACTTTTGTGTATTTTTTTCCATTACTAAACATTTTTCATTAAAAAGTACATGAAAAAGGTAAACTTGAGAAAAAAAAGATTGTTAAATGAATTTGTTCGTTGAATAAGGAACACTGTTAGTTGGATACATTCAGTTTCAGTTGTTATTTGAAAAACAACAGCTGAGGTTGCAGTCTTAACTGTTGCAAAATTTTGCTTACTCTTCCTTATTTTTTCTGTTCTACAAAATCAACTTTAGCTTTTTTTTTTTTTTTCTTTTTTGCCAATTTTATTTGCTGAAAATTGTATTTCCTAAATTTTTTTTTTACTTCACTCTTAGTTTAAAAAACGTTTTTTTTTTCCTTAGATCAGTTTATTAATATGACAACTAACAAAACAGGTTAAAAAAATTTCTACAACAGTTTACAGATGTTTGCAGTTGAAAACTGTCGGAAACAGCAACAGCAAATAACGAAACTGTCAATGTTTCAACAATAAAAATAAGACCAAAAACTGGTAACAATTAGTGTATTCCAATCATCAATGATATTATTGTTATTTTTATTTTTTTTTTTTTTTTTGTAAAATTAATGACAAAAAAAATTTTATTTTAAACAAACTTAACTTTAAAACAACATTACTGTTTCAGAAATAAACAGTTATTTTAGATAGATTGCAAAAAAAGAAAAAAACAAACAAACATATATTTTATGACAATGATAAATGGTCATAAAAATCAAGCGATAATTATAAGCAACTAAAATAAAAAAAAAAAAAAAAAATAAATTTTTTTTTTCTATTTCTATATTATTATTGACAAAAAAATTTCTGTAAATCCAAATATATTCTTAGTCTGTGTTTGAGAAGAAAAAAATCTTTTTTGCACAATAAAAAATTTGGTAAGTATTATAGATGCCTAAAATGATGAAGCAGAAATTGACAAGCTTCATCTTGAGTCACTGAATACAGCTAAATAGTACCAAAATATGGAGTAAAGTAAGTTTTACTATTTTTCTGTTCTTCTTTTTTTTTATTTTTTAGTAAAAAAATGTTAAAGTTTCTAAATTATTGCTTAATAAACTGTAATAAAATTAAAATACTTTTGACTGATAAGAAGAGTGGCTAAAATTTGAAGCATCAACTATCTTTAAACATTTTATTATGGCTTGTTGAACTAGGCATTAGGCCAAAAAAATTTCTCTCCTCTGCTTCAACATTCTAATATTTAGCCTGTTACAGTGGTGATTATTTATGATGGTTTTTTATCATTAAGTTTGCTGTAGTTGAGGTTAGCTATATGCCTATTCTAGCACTGCACAATTTTTATCTTCACGGTGAAAGAAACTCAAAAGGCGATGAAGACGAATGGAGAGAGGAAGCGAAGGAAGAAGAAGAAGAAGAAGATGGAGAAGGACAAATGACATGGGGCTTAGAGGCAGTAAAAAGTCATCATTCCTTCTTCGGTTTCTTCCCTTTCTTTATAAGTTTTCATCAACTGCAACGATAGCCGTAGAAACCATTGGTATCGGTTGGTGATTTTAGTATTTTGTACTTTACGCTTTATATGACCGCATGTGTTGACTGCATCATGTTGACTGCATAAGCATAAATGAAACTGGTCAGTCCGTCTTCGAGATTCTAACTGTTTGTTCCGTATATATGATTCTGATGTGTCAAAATATATATATTGATAATCAGTGCTCCAGTTAGTCCGTTTAAAAATTGCCTTAAAATCTCGCTTTTTTTTTAGTTTTTAGCATTCTAAAACAGGGGAGAAAAATTTTGCATCAAGCCTAATTATACGACAATAACGAACTATAAAAAACTACATTTACTTAAA